GTAGGACTAATCCTTCAGAAGGGGCTGGCTGAGCTGGGGAAGGGACTGGCTGCTTCCCTGGCTTGGGAAAACCTCCTTACCTGTGTCCTTGGGTTGTGTTTAAGCTTGACCCAGCCTTGTTTGTACTCAGAGTTAGGCACTTGAGAGTGTATAGAGAAGATGAAGCTTAGGGAAGGTTTCAGGAGATGTGGACTGGAGGAAGACCAAAAAACCAGGCTTGGGGCAGTGCTCCCTCTTTTGCTTTTCCAGGATGGCTGCACCAGCGGTTTTCAGAGGAAATGGAAAGAATGAGGAGAGGAACAAAGGGCTTTAATGAGCTTAAGTGCTTGTTTTCGTCATTTCTGCAGCACACGCGAGCTGTGTAATGCACCGAAATTGAGCCATTACTTTCCCTGGAGGTGGAGGAGATGGGATTTTTGGGGGATCCACAAGCCCAGATTTGCTGAGATGAGTCCAACAGGACAGTCAGTCCTCCCTTAGCTCTGCAGGACTGGCCCTGGTGCCCTCTTTTCCCCAGGGGAAGGGGAGCAGGTTCTAATGCTGCTGCTCTGTCATCCCCCCAGGCTGCTGGTACCCTCTGTATCCTCTCTCTGCCTCCAATTCCCATGGCTTTGTGTGGGAGATGGGCAAGCCCTAAGCATGGGATGGATTCCTCCATCCTCCAGGCCAGTGCTAGGATATGGGAGTTGCTACCTATCAGTGCACCAGGGACATGTCAGTGGGGAGCACCTCAAAACACGCCCCACTGTGTGCAGGCACGGGGAGATGTCATTTCCCAGCTGGGCTCGTGTCCCAGCCCTGAACTCCTCCTGGTCCTGACGCGGAAGTTCTTCACAGGTTGAAGGTTGGGGTTTTTTTCATCATTAAGTACAGTAAATCAGTATATCAGAAAAATATTTTGGGGTCAGAGCTGGTGGTTTGTGTTTATGATCATTCAAAAACCAGGGGTATTAGGAACTCCTGAATTTCTGGGTTCTGCTAAGGGAGGTGTTGCCAGCTGTCTTGGGAGGCAGTGAACCTCACTCCGCAATCCCCAGGGGACCTGTCACCCCTTGGCACGTGGAGCATCCTGACCACTCGCACCCCACAGATTCTGACTGCAGCATGAGGATGCACCAGCATCCCACTGGGTCTGACACTCTGCTCTCCCCTCCACAGCAATACTTCATCCTCCTCATCATCACGGATGGGGTGATCAGTGACATGGACGAGACAAGACACGCTGTGGTTCAGGCATCCAAGCTGCCCATGTCCATCATCATCGTGGGGGTGGGCAATGCTGACTTTGCTGCCATGGAGTTCCTGGATGGGGACAGCAGAGTGCTGCACTCCTACACGGGCGAGGAGGCTGTGCGTGACATCGTCCAGTTCGTGCCCTTCCGGAATTTCCGCAATGTGAGTGTGTGCAGCAGGGAGGAGATCACAGGGAGAAATGGGGTGACAAGCCTTGAAATGACCCTTGGAGTGGAGCAACCCCTGTAGAGGCAGACAGAGGCAAGAGGTACCTGCCTGTCTTACCCTGTCTTACCATCCCTCAGGGATGCTCTGCCATGGACCACATAAATAAGCTCTGGAACCATGGGCAGGTAGGGGCAGCAGTGCTCCCTCTGCATCTTGTCCTAGGCATCCTCCCTGTTTCCCTGTTTCCTTGGCATCCTCAGCATCCTCCCTGTTTCCCCACCCACTGTCATCATCGGGCAGGTGGGAGCAAAACCCAGTGAATCACAGCAGGGTCTGGGTTCCCACAGCAAGCTGGAGCAAGACTGGGCTCACATCCCTTGCCACAGTCGCATGCTGGTGTCTCCCACTCAGGCCTCATCCAGCACCCATGATGTGCCATGTGGTGAGGGCTTAATGCTGAATTGCTCTGAGGGTGAGCCCTGCACCCCCTAGCCCCTCATGGTACCTGTAGAAGTGGGCAGTGATGACACTGGCCCTGCACATGTCCCCTCTGTAGGATGGCCCATTGCAATCAGCCAGGAGTCAGCCCTGGGTCGGATGCTATTGCTGGCACAGGATTGCCCAAGGATGCAGAAAATCAGCCTGTGTTTATCTTCCCCTTTTTTGCAACTAATCAGTGTTTTTCTGTTTCACCTCCTGTTACCTGTTTCTTCTAACCTACCCAGGATGTTTTATGCCTCCCTACTAGTGAATTATCTCCTGGAGGGAAGGGGTAGTATAGAATATAACAATCCCAGATGTATAAAATGCTGGTTGACGGTAGACTCTAGGGAGTATGGAATGAAATGCAACGGTCTGGAGTTGGGGACAGCCCAGGCACGTTTGCTCAGTCCCCATGGCTGTTCTAACACTGCTGTTGGTTCCCTTTGGCCTGCAGGTCCCCAAGGAGACTCTGGCCAAAGCTGTGCTGGCAGAGCTGCCCCAGCAAGTCGTGCAGTACTTCAAGCACCAAAACCTGCCACCCATCAACTCGGAGCCCGCGTAGAGCTGTGCCAGGCTGTGCCCTCTGCATGTTGCCGAAGCCTGGTCCTACCGAAAGTGAGTTCCACATGCTTTTAAGAGAAGAGTACCCTCCCTGAAACACTTTGTACTTCTTAATTTAATTGCTAAGTTCTTAAAACTCATCCCAGCAAAGCGTCTGGATTCATTTTGTACAGTCTTGACCCGAAGTAACACTAAGCAGCCAGGCCATGCCTTGGTCCTGCTCTGTTGAGTCACTTTTCAGTATTGAATGTACTTTGTATAATTTCAGTGGAACAGGATACAATTTTTATGATCAAAACTTGCTTTTTCCAAGCAATGAAATGCTTAATATATTATTATCATTCAATGAACTGGTTGTTGTATAGTTCATGTATTTGTGTTGTACCTGTACATGTCAGGCTCTGTGTTCATTTTTATACTGTGTACATGTTATATTTGTTATACTCAGGTTAATAAAGAAACTTGGACATTTAAAACAAAGGTCTCCTAGAATGGGAAGGTCTGGGAGCAGCTTACACAGTCAGCAGTGTGAGGAGTTTGGGAGTCACTCCGACATGACATGTACTGGTCCCTCAGTTGCTCACTCTGCACTCGGTTTCTGCTCACTGTGCCGCAGGATCAGTCCCAGGCTGTCAGCAGCAGCATGCAGAGTGTGATTTACTGAAGCTGGATGTGGATGTCCAGGGGAGAGCAGCATCCCCTCATGCCTCTCCATCAGCTCTCAGTGCCTGCCTGAGCTGAGGGCAGGGGGCTGGTGTGTGTGCACGTGTGTTTGGGAAAACACCACAACCCACAACAAACCGTCAAAGGGAGTTTCATGGTTCACTCCTGCTTCACCTCTAGAAATTTTCCCTTGTCTGAGTAACAAAAGCTCTCTGCTGCCTGGGAAAAGATGGGCTGGGTAATGAAATCCTGCTCTCCAGCAACTCCTTTGAGCTGCTCATCAGCAATGTGTTATCTTCAGCTCTAATTGCCGCTTTCTGCTGTTCTTAACTAGATTAAGTTCTTTTGAAGCTGAATATGCTGTTGAATATCTGGCAGGGATCACCAGTCATACTCCAAACTCAAGTAGACTTGACCTCCCTCCTTCTCCCCATTAGTGGAAGCCCTTGCAGTGGGATGTTGGTGTCCCTGTAGCACACAGATGTGCTACTGGTTGTGCTCTCTGCCACCAACCACCACCAGCAACTGTGTGGCTGTCACTGCTGCCACCAAGTCACCAGCACACACGTTGCCCCAGGAAGTGCCACAGCACCAAGCCAAAGCTGACAATGCGGCCCTGAGTTGGCTCTGAGCATGGTGCTGGGTGAGATTCCATCCCTTGGGAGAGGTGGGATTGCTCCATGAACCATCTGCCTTCCAAACCCCCCTAGAAGGGAAAATAAACAACCGACACCACCCTTTCCAAAGAGAGAAGCAGCCTTTGAAGGGTGGCTTGTTTAAAAATAATGCTGTATCCAACTCAGCTTCCAGATTGAAGTCTGTGGCTCTGGAAAAATTGTTGGTTTTTTTGAAATTTCCATAAGAGAACCTCACACACAGCTGCAGTAGCTTGTAAGCTCTTCTGCTAGTAGAGTGTTTGTGGGGGTTTGTCATTTTTTTTTTAACACCTCTCTCAAGCTTTAACAACTAGTACAGACAACAAGTGGTTTATTGAGCTGTCCCTGGGGAGGGGATGAAGCACATACTAAGCAGTCATGGGTTTTTTCTTTAAAAAAAAAATAAATCTAAATCCACCACTGAATCAGAGTTGGTGGCAGAGCCATTCTCCAGCTCTGTCGGGCCTGGGGCAAGGTTACTGCCACAGCTGCCCTTTTCAGGTCTGATTTATCCTCCATCCCAAGCACTCCTCATCCCAGCATCTCTCTCAGGCACTGGAGTACTTTAATGTCAGATTGCTTCTGTCTGTACGAAGGCAAATGGGACCAACCAATGGAGTGAGGAGCAGGGTCAGCTCTGCAGTTTGCGTACACAGGCCCTAAGAACAGCAGATCTGACAGACCCAAAGGCATTCCCCACGTGCCCTGTTTGGTTGCTCTAGGAACATGAGGAGGGCAGAGGGCTCCCAGCTGCTTTTCCTGAATTGTCTCCTTCTGGCCTTGGATGGTCCAATGTAACCATCATCCCCTCCTGATCTCACCTGCAGCCCCTGCAGACCACCCCTACCATCACATCTGCCACAACTGGCTGGCAACTCCCACTAGCAGTTGCTGTCTGAATCAGCCATTTTGACTGCAGCTGTGTAAAATATCACTCAGGAAAATGGTCCCAGTGTGCTCACAGCTGGGCTAGGATGCTTTGACTCTAGTGGGATTATTGATCTAGCTTAATGCCAGGGAAGGACACCAACAGCTCTCACACCAACTCCTTAACGCTGTTGCCAATGCAACTTTTGTATAAAAAACATGCTTTTTTTTTGGTGCAGAGCTTCCATTTCACTCTGTGGCTAGGTATGATGAAAGTCACCAAAAGCAAAGCACTAGGGAGGCTGCAAGAGATCTAGCTATATTTCACCTGAAAGAGCCATGATTACAGTAGCTAGAGAAGGGGCAGGAGCAACTCTGGAGCAAACCCAAGAGATGCCAGGCAACCCAGAACAAGGGAGGAATTACAGTGTGTTTGTAAGGATCTGATTGTGGAATGGAGCTGTGCAAACAGAAAGGCTATTTGGCTAAGGATAACTTCATTGTGAGCATAACACTGTTTCCTTTGGGAAAGTTCAACACTCAAGCTGAGGCATGAATCCACTAAATGCCTTCAGTTTTCACTGCTTTTAGCCCTGCTGTTCTCCTACAAGTTGCTCAGCATTACGTCCAGGTACACACACATTTACCAGCTGTTTTCTCAGGAGTGTAGCACATTGAGCAGGACTGCCACAAAGACACTTCCTACCCTGAGCAACTAAGCTGAGCTGTTCCAACCCTCTAACCTCCCATCAGCACACTGAGCGCACAGGTGAAAAGGACAGGCCCTTGGCCCTAATGGCACAAGCCAGGCCTTGTGCCTGGCTCCCTGGCCCACCCAACCCCTAAACATGCCCATATAAGACTTCTTAAATTCAATACAACTTCAAGGATGATGGAATTCTCCAGCTTCTGTACAAAGGAGTTTGGCTGAACTGGGGAATCCCATCTGCTCTGGATTCATGCCCTTCAGGACATTGCTGCTGAAAAGCTGAATAGCTTGTCAAGCTCTAGCACAGGAGCAGCAGCCTTTGAACAGAACAGCAAATTGCAGCTCCTGTGAACTCACTCAGAACAAGAGTTTTCCATCACCACCTCTGCAGTCGTAGGGAACTGACCTGCACCTCTCCTGGATGACAGTTTGAGGAAAGGGCTGCTTGGGTAGAGCAGAAATTGCTTAATGGAATGAGAACAATTATGAATGGCACAAGCAGAAATAAAAAAATGCATTCAGAATGTCTTTAATCATGTAACACAAACTTCTTTACAGTGTCATGGCAATCTACACTTCACCATCTGCTCGAATTTGGTTCTGCCCCCATTTCTCAAATACAGAATAAAAATGACATTTTAAAACAGAACACATGGCTGTTTCTACAAGACTTCACTGCTTCAAGTGAGTATTTTTTGCCTGTTAGTCTTGTATAAACTTCTTAGATCAACATAATTCTTTCTTTCTGTAAGAATGGTAAGAGATAAAGCTCTCTCCTACTTACCCTCAGACCTCTGATACATTATTAGGTGTGCCTTCTGCTTTAGGATGGCAGCTTTTCCTCCAGGCTCAGTATGCATCCCAGAAATGGAAAGTTGGGAAAGGGGTGGGGGGAGATATAATGAGTTATTTTAGGAGTATTTGAGTGTATTAAAGTTGAGAGGTTAGCTAGAAAGATTATATTTGGGGCAGAAGGATGCAACAAGCATCCATCAGGGCTTTGGAAGATACTCTGCACTACATTACACACGGAGGGATTTTGTTATGGACCATCAAAGAAACTGTTGCCACGAAAGACGGAGGAGACAATCTTTCCAGTGGAATTAATCGTGCCTTCGCTATCCGAGCTGGACTCCGAGTCGCTGCTCCCCGAGTAGGCACCCAGGCCAGGCAGGATCCCAATGCACACGGCTGCTGAGGGACAGTGGACTGTGGAGCCTCCCACTGAGCTGCTCCCCAAGGGAACACAGGAGGGTTTTTCTGGAAGAGAGATTCCTCAGTCAAAAAGGAGAGCGCAGGAACTGCCGCCTGTCACTCACCTGCTTTCGGCACATAAGCGGCAGCTGATTGCAGGATTTAATTAAAGCACAAGGCAGCTTTATGCTGCAATAAAGCCATTCTGACAGGAAGGACTTGCTAGCTCAGGGGATTTTTTTTCTCTCATCACTAGTTTAAGCTCAGCTCTATGTTGGCATTACAGATTTTTTATTCTAAAGTTGTCAGTTTGATGCTTGTCAAGTACCAAACCCACTAAATAAAGAATAAATAGCTCTGCTTTGTGTAATTGAGTTGTTTGGGGTTGGTTGTTTTTTTTTTTTTTGCAATGTAACAGCATAGTTGGGGAAAAGTTTTATTCCTTCGTTCTGCTAGTCAACATCTCCCATCTTCCATGGCTAATTAATTATTTCCACTGCTCTGAAAGTTTACTGAACAGAAGGAGACTCAGGAAGCGCCTTGGGTTGTCATTACACAACTGCAGCTCACCCGATTTGTGTCAGAGTCTCTTGACAGCAAGTCAGTTGCAGCCCTGACAGCTAAGGCTGAAATGCAACTTAATTCTTCTTCTAGTTCCCCATGATTTACTGAAACAAATTGGTTTCAGGATGGAGAAGATCACTTCATAGCATGAAAAGCTAAAGTGGATGTATACAAATCTATCCAATGCTGCTGTGAAGGGAAAAGGGATGATCTGTTCTCCATGTCTCTGGCTGACAGAAGAAGCATTAGGCTTGAAATGCACCTAAGGAGACTCCCATTAGTTATCGGGTAAAACTCTTTCAGATTAAAATCAGTTAAGCATTAAACTCCCTAAGGAGGATGCACAGTCTATCTGTGGAGACTTAAGAGCAGCTTAGACAAATATCTGTCAGAACTGGTTTAGGCAGGGGACAGTCTGATGACCTGCAGAGGTTCCCTCCAGCCCTATTTTCCATGAAGGCTGTCAGCACCTAGAGGTACCACTTCTAGTTCTTCAAGAGAGAACATGCCAACCACAGCCTGTGCTGTCTTGCACAATGAAGGAACAGAAAAGCAAAACCTCCATGAGATTTAACCCCCAGTCAGTAGCTGTTCAGTGAAAGACAGACAGCCTCCCACATGCAGAAGTCGAGAGGTACCTTGATTCTTTTCCTCGTGATCAGTATCTAGTTTCAACCTCTTCACACTGTTGCCACCATCTGAACTGTGGAAACAATAAGAAAGTGTCTTGTTCCTCATAAGCAACCACTTAATTACTGTGAAGTAATTGTTACATCTTTGTCTGGAATGCTCCACGAATGCCACCAGGATCCCCTGCTGAC